ACGAAGTTTGTGTTTCTACCAGTCAGTCAACAAACATGGTGGCCATGACTAAAGATAGACCATACGGGTAGATGCATTACTTGTCTCATACATTGAAAACAATAAAAGAAAGAGAAAATCTGACAGGCAAAAATGCTCAAACTGTTAAGATCTAAATACCTCTGTTTGCACCAAAATTATCAAATGACTCCTTAATGAGTTTTTGCCCTTAAATGACGATGTTTGCATTGTTTTTTTATGTTTTTGCTTATTAACAAATTAAAACAATATTAGATTAGAAGAAACTTGTAAAGCGAAATTCTTCAGAAATCTAGCAAACAAAATATTTTGAAAAACAAAATAACACTAAATTTGTAAATTTTGCCATCCAAAGCACTATTATTGTCTTTCTTACTATTGCAACTTTAACGATTTGCATGATTATAAACAATATCACAGTGCAATATGAGCGAAATTCCTCTAAGGCTTATTGTTTGATAGTCTATATGTTTTATAGAATATATGGTCATATCATACTTGCCATTATTAATACTTGCTTTATCATAGACATGATAAAGATTTAGCTTTGCTGTTTTTGCCACTTTGTTTTACTTATAGACATGCTAAACTCGTGTCCACACTTTATATTGAACTGCTTGTTTAATAGCTTTTATATTTGTTAATGTATTTTGCAGTTATCATTCATCATGATTTATGAGACTCTATTATATATAAATATATAATAGGATGACCAACAGCGAGCAGGTTTCCTTATTTCAGTCGAGTTTTTCACATGCGACACATATGTATTACAATCCGGCGGCGGCGTAAACTATTTGTTTAAAGCTTTATATTTGAGAAGGTAGAAGACCTGGATGTTGCGTACCTTATGTTACGAAAATTCTGTCTGTCATATGTCCATTGTCCTTGACCTTATTTTCATGGTTCAATTACTACATGTATGTCAGGTAAGGTTCACCTGACCTCGACCTCATTCCATGGATCAGTTTGATCAAGGGTAAAATTACATGATCAAATCCGTATCTCAGATACTATTTGCAATATATCAAGTATATTTGGTGTATGGAATGATTGTTAGATGTACATGTCAGACTGCCAGATTTCATCTGACCTTGACCTCAGTTTCATGGTTTATTGGACTATGTTTAGTTTTTCTGGTTTGGTCTATTTCTCATATATTATTAGCAATAGGTCAATTACATTTGGAATATGAAACAATTGTAAGGTGTACATATCTGTCTCGTCGGGTTCATACACCTTGGCCTGATTTTCATGGTTCATTGGTCAATAATAAGTTTTCGTAATTTTGTAAGTTAATCAGATACTATGAGCAATTGGCCAACTATGTTTGTGATATTGAATGATTGTAAGTTGAACATGTCTGTCTGACAGGGTTCATATGAACTTGACCTCATTTTCAAGGTTCATTGGTCAATTTTCTGTTTCTCAGGTACTTTTAGCGATAGGACCACTATATTTTGTGTATGGAATGATTCCAAGATGATGTTCATTTCTGTGTGGTATTGTTCATCTGACCGTGACTTCATTTTCATAGAACATTGATGATGTTGAGTTTGTGTGATACTTGTAGTAAAACCTTCATTTTATAGACTTTCTTTATGGATTTAATTATAAGTAAAACAGGCGAGACACTTCAGTGCGTGCACTCTTGTTTGTTTTGTCAAACCGGGCTGCCTGTCGTTCATTTTTGAAACAAGATGCCGTAGGGTAATTACAATTCAATTCTTTGTACAAGATTTCAAAAAAGAATGAAATTTCAATAATCCTTGGTTTATCCTGTTTCTTTTTCTACCTAGAACTCAATTATGTAAACATGCACACGGACATTGAATTTTAAATCGCAAATACTTGCACGATCGCTAATTGCATTGTAATTCTTAACAAATCAGGCTAAACGTCAAGCATAAACAATTCAACATTTTCCAAAATGTCAGAAAGATACATAAGTTTCGCTTCTGATGAATATGGCAGTTGTTATCAAAATGTCCGTTTCTATGTATGTTGGCGTTTGTTTTTGTTGCAGTTCAGTATTCCTGTTGTTCCGTTGTTTTCCTCTTATATTTGATGTGTTTCCCCTCGGTTTTGGTTTGTGATCCGGATTTGTTTTCGTTCAATCGATTTATGACTATTAAACAGCGGTATACTACTGTTGCCTTTATTCGTTAAACATTCAACATGAACAATTGAAATAAATGCCTTAAATTTTCGACCTCGTTTTGTTTTGTATGTTTTCTTTCTTATTTTATTTCAACTTCTCCTGATAATGTCAATCTTTTGTCATCATCATAACAAATGAAAAAGTAGCTTTCCGATGAGTAAAATATAACGTTTCCTTATAGCTGTGATTGATTAAAGAGAATGTTGCTCATAATTGCATTCATTAGAATTTTGAAATTGAAATCTTACACCATTGTACATAAAATAGAAGCTTTATAATTGTATAGTTTGTTGCTCACTTGTGATGTATAATGTGATATTCTTATTTAGTTTTTGCAAAAGAAAGTATCAAATTATATTATGGCCAATAGCGACAAAGCAGTATATTTCCAGCATATGCTCGAGAAGATACGTTCACCATGTTCACTGTCTATGTATACCCCTTCCGTCACAATAAATGCATATTATAGTTTGAAATAGAAAAACAGAAAATAAATTTCATTATTACATTGGTTGCTCTGAATTATCGTGATTTCCCATTGAAATAAAAACCGATAATTTGACATGTGAAATAAACTGTTATTTCACTCCTGTGACGTCATACAACAATAGGTGTTATCAAGACGTTGTCGATGACGTCGCATCAAAGCAAATTGTGAATGCGTAGAAAAAGATATAGTTCCTTACATTTTCTAATTTATTTCCATTAAAAAGCCCTCTGTCAATATAATAAAAAGGATAACTAATCAATGAATTCAAATATCGAAAAATATTCAACTCGTGATCGAACAACACTGATAATTAACTCATGCGCTACACGCATTCGTGAATAAATGTGGTGTTCGGTCACTCGTTGAATATTTTTCTATATTTGAATTCTTCGATTAGTTATTCTGTAAATATCATTTGATTCTACAAGAGTCATAAAGTATCATTCTGTTTTAATTCATTCAGAGCACAAATAAAGGCATCATTCTTAAATATAACTCAACATGCAGACATCTTATACGTTCGGGTATTTCACAACCAATCTTTTATGGTAATATTCTTTACAAAGCACAAAAATGTCAGTATTCACCTCAAAAGCTAACAAAACCTTTAAACAGACTTATTAAGAAGGGATATAGTTACGATACTGTAGTCAGGTCATTAAAGATTGCATATTTTGGCTTTAATATTGATTCACTTATAGGGTATTTGCATCGGAATTAAACATATTTATTCTAAAACCAGTTGTTGGCATGACACGGGTTATGTTTTTCTCATATATTTTATGATGGTATAATACTAAACCCCTAACAGGAGGGGTTGTGCCTGATATTCATATAATGAAGACATAATCTTTTAATCAGTTTAATTGAGGTCTGGAGCTGGCATGTCAGTAACTGCTAGTAGTCTGTTGTTATTTATGTATTATTGTCATTTTGTTTATTTTCTTTTGTTTCCAATTCTGACATCGGACTCGGACTTCTCTTAAACTGAGTTTTACTGTGCGTACTGTTGTACGTTTGTTTTTTTACATTGGCTAGAGGTATAGGGGGAGGGTTGAGATCACAAAAAACATGTTTAACCCCGCCGCATTTTTGCGCCTGTCCCAAGTCAGGAGCCTCTGGCCTTTGTTAGTCTTGTATCATTTTTAATTTAAGTTTCTTGTGTATAATTTGGAGTTTAGTTTGACGTCCATTATCACTGAGCTAGTATACATATTTGTTTAGGGGCCAGCTGAAGGACGCCTCGGGGTGCGGGAGTTTCTCGCTGCATTGAAGACCCATTGGTGGCCTTCGGCTGTTGTCTGCTCTATGGTCGGGTTGTTGTCTCTTTGACACATTCCCCATTTCCATTCTCAATTTTAATAGTATACCGCTGTTTAAAAGTCATAAATCGATTGAGAGAAATCAAATCCGGGTTACAAACCAAAACCGAGGGAAACACATCAACTATAAGAGGAACACCGAAGTGCAACAAAAACAAACGCTAATACACACAGAAACGAACTATTTGATAACAACTGCCAAATTCCTGTCTTGGTACATGACATTTTAAGAAACAAATGGTGGGTTGAACCTGGTTTCATGGCATGCCAAACCTCCCACTGTATGACAATGTTAAAAAAATATCGCTAAAACACTATGTAACAGAAATACAGCACAAACACACGCAAGAACATTCATAACAGAGAAACGCACAAACAAATATCATAATAGCATAACAAGATCCACTTTTGATCTTGATTTAACGGTAATTGAAAAACTTTAGTATTCTAACTTTTTGTAATGAATTGCAAAATGAAAAAGAACGTTTAACTCAAGTACTATAAATATAATGGAGTCATATATACAATGTAGTCCATCAGATACAGAGACATAAGTTGATATCAGACATAACCTACTAATTTCCATTGTGTCTTTTATTACAAAATTGCTCTGTGCTTTCAAACCAAACATTGGGATTTCTTGAATCGCAGCACAAGATTGTTTTTTAAATCTTAAACATTAAATGTATCTAAGAAGGCATTACATGATACAATATATAATACAAAAATTATCTCTTGAGTGAAATATTTGATTGAGTTTAATTGAAACCTTGCCCTAATTGATCAAATATAATATTATTTTTTTTTTAATTTCATAGAGACTTAAGAAAGGACATTTATTTCAGCCAGAAATCCTGACATTATCATCATTATATTTATCAACCCAATAAGAAACGCAATTTTGAGAAGGTTGGTCGTTTGTTTGTGTTGCACTTTCAGGGGTACAAAAAAGATTTCACTCATACGTTCTCATCCTTTGCATTAAATCTTTTACTGTTTTTTTTTTCAGAAACGATTGGAGAAACTTTTTACCTAGGATTTTTAGAAAGCAACGGGAAGCGTGGAAACCTGTTTCTATATATACTTTCAAGATCTGATGGATCATGTCAGATTTTGATCCCAAACACAGATATAAACACTACAATTGCAGTAGCAAGCACAAGTGTTAATTCATATAGAATCAACCCTGATACCTGTATGGATCAAATTGGAATACAACGGAAAGCTGTCTTTGTCAAATGTGATGTTCCTGTATCTGTTTATGGATTGACATTTTTGAGTGTGGAAGTAGATGGATTTCTAGTTCTGCCATACGAGTTCCTTGGAAAAGATTACATAATTACTTCATTCACACTAAAGACACCTAGAGACAGTAATCTCTCAAACAGTAATTTTGGAATTATTGCAATCTCTAAATCAACAAATATTACTATAACTTTTCGGATGGAAGGTGGAATTATAAACTACAAAGATAGCCGCTATGGAAATGATGACACACTTCACATACATTTGTCTCAGTTTGATACATTTTATTTGTCTCATGATTATGATATGAGTGGAACATTGATTTCTGCATCAAATCCGGTTGCAGTCATGTCTGGTGTCCGTACTAGTTATCTAAGGAACGGATATGGAAATCATATGGAAGAAATGATCTTACCAAATGACAAACTAGGACGCAATTTCATCGTTCCAAAGTTGTATGATTCACAGTGCAATTTTAGAATATTTGCACAAGAACAAACCCGAGTACGTGCGTACGACAGCAGTTTAGTGGATTATATTAACATCAAACGTGGCTTCAAAGAATACGAAAATTATATCATATATACTTTACAATCATCTGCACCAGTTCAAGTTCAGCTATACTGCAATGGAGCATCTTCTAGTTATGATGCTTTCATGGTTACACTTCCAAGTATTCAACAATTCAAAAGCAGTTACAAGTTTCCGGTTGTGAATGACTTTAAAAGCGCCTATCCACCTCAGCACTTTTACATCACTATCATTATTCAATCGTACGCGAAGGCGGGATTATGTTTAGATGATGAGGTTATTTCTAATTATAAAGGAACTACAAATATTACATTTGATTCCACACCATACTCTGTCCTCGCCGTAGAACTAAGTGTCGGTCCACATGAAATTAAACAACAAAATGAAATACCATTTGGACTCTTAGTGTACGGACGTACGACTTCGTCAGGTTACGGCTTTCCAGCTGGTTTTGCTACAATGAGTAAGCCGTGAACGAAAACAAGAGGAATGGCCATTTATTTTAATCTTATTTTGCTAAACATCAATGAATGGTTTAATTCATCTTTCATTTATCATTTTTTTACTAGAGTGTTATCAAAAAATATAGTACAAAGCGTTAAATATACATTATCCATACAAATGTAATCCAAAGACCTAAATCATTACTACATACAAAAAATAATCGATGTATGCAAAAACGATCAGATTAAATTATTTTGGCAACTCTTAATTGTGTTAGGGATCGAATGTTGAGGAATGAAGGTCTATATATACGTTAAACTACGATTTGTTACAGGATTTTTATATTCAAAATTTTATATTTAGAATATTTAAAAACAGCAAAATGCCAGTTTTAATTTGAATATATACTAATGGTGAACTGTAATTGCTTAAATCTTTACATTCGCTTTCTAGTAGATAGTTATCTTCTTTGCAAACACATAAAATCTCCTTACTTTTATAATGCAATAATATTACTACTTATGTTCAGATAGCATCACTTGGTACAGGCACAGAACGTTTACATACTGTAGAGTCATTATCATTTGTGGGATAGAAATTTTTATTTGATTATTCGGTATGAATTTAAATTTTCAACGAATTAAGTATTTTCTATATGCTTGTATGCTGACTGGCAAAACCTTGAAATCAAATATCATTGAAAATAAATGTTTCCGCAATGCAGGAAAATGGATACCGACAAATATGCACTTTCTATGAAAATTTTGGAACACTGTTACAATAAACGTTTGTCATTCACACCTTTAAAAACGAACTAAAGTTTAACAACCAAGAAGGTTTATGTTCGTCTGTTATATAATGTACAGAACCATTTACTTATTTTCATGGTGCAGTGGTTAAACATATTTGAAATGAATATAAGAAAATGTGGGGTACTTGGCAAATAGAAAAAAAACAACGACAAACAAAACTAAAAAGGTCAATATACAGTTCAAATCGATAGTTAAGTAGATTAGTATTAAAAAGTTATATCTATTAAGTCATCTGGTCCAAAGGGCAAATGTGAGCATTTGCCATGATTTGGCGTCCGTCGTCTGTCGTTCGTCGTCTGCAGTCGTCGTCGTCGTCCGTCGTCCGTTAACTATTACAAATATCATTTCATCTTGTTAAATTACTGGGCCAAACTTAACCAAACTTTTTTAACTGATTTTTATAGTTGTTCTTAATTTTAATTGATACACCACTGTTCCAGTTTAATCCCGCCACATTCTTTATGAGCCTGTTCCAAGTTAGGAGCCTGTAATTCAGTGGTTGTCGTTTGTTGCTGTGTATCATATTTGTTTTTCGTTTACTATTGTGTACATAAATTAGGCCGTTTTGATTTGTTTTACATTTGTCATTTCGTGGCCCTTTATAGCTGACTATGCGGTATGGGCTTTGTTGAAGGCCGTACCGTGACCTTTAATTGTTAATTTCTGTGTCATTTGGTCTCTTGTGGGAAGTTGTTATATTGCATAGCAATCCTACCACATCTTTTTATTTTTATATTAACCGCATTGATCAATGGTGTACCTGCTTTTTTTTAAATGTGTCCGATGACCCGCCTGCCGACAAACATGGCCGACATGGCAAAAAAATGAATATAGGGGAAAAATGCAATTTTGGTCTATTATCTTGAGAACTGATGTAGATAAAAAAACATATAACGGAACGAAAATATTCAAAATGGTGAGATCTACATAATGTCTAATGACATTAAAACTGTCAGACGACTTCTGATAGGAGTTTATAGCCCTTCAACAACGAATTTTTCTTTTTTTTTAAAATTTTTGCCTATTATTTCGAAAAGATAGACAGATATTTTAACAATAAAAAACCAATCATAATTTAAATCGTCAGTCAACAACTTATTGAAGTTTTTTGCTTTTAAATAAAATTAAGAATGGAAATGGGGAATGTGTCAAAGAGACAACAACCCGACCAAAGGGCAGAAAACACCCCAAGGTAACCAATTGGTCTTCAACACAGCGAGAAAATCCCGCAATCGGAGGCCGGCTTCAGTCAAAAGACTCTTTATGAATTTCGTGTTACATTTTGCATTCAAAGTACGCTTTTCTAAAACATTTTATTAAGTAAATTTTCTGAAAAAAATCAAAACTATGTTAGTATAAAACTCGTTAAATTTTTGATAAATTTATTGTCACTGAACGCCAGTTTTCTATGATTATGAGGTCATTTTTAAATGCAGTGCATAAATGCCTTTCTGGTTGCCGGGTTAATATTTCCTTCCGCGATATCCGACATATCTACGTAGGGGGTCATTTGGCCATAAGTAGATCCGGAAATGTTGAATTCTCTCCTCTTTATTTTGTGATATAAAATGTTTTTTGTTTCGTTTCATTTACATTGGAAAATAAAGAAACGATCATTGTGTTTTGTTAGTTTTTGATATATTTGTATTTTGCATTATAAGCAGTCAACCGATTGACAAACTAGAATTATTTGAATTCCGTGTGGAAAGAGGTCGGGTTAATGCGAGTTTTATCTGCAATCTAGATGTTTTTAAATCATTTCAGTCGTTGATATAACAATTAAAGGTCGACTGATCATGAATTATAATGCATATTATACAATTGAAAGCGCATTTCTGTTTATGCATGTGAAGCCGTATGACGTTATTGTTGTTTCGGTATCAGTTATAAAAAGTGGCAAATAATCGTTCCTGAATAGGTAGCGCCGTGGTAGCCGGTCCTGTTCCTTAACTTCCGGTTTCTGCACTGGGCAAATTTGCAATGACATTTTTAATTAACGATGCCTATATATCTAGTACTTGTTGTTGTGTACCTGGATGTCATTTATGAGGAGGACATGCATTTCCAAATGACTTAAAAAGAAGGAAAAGTTGGATCAACACCATTGTCCATGTACGCAGATTGGACGAGAACATTTCAATCAGCTGTTGTTTGCAAGGCACATCATTTGACTGAAAACGACTACGTGCAGGAAACTATTCATGGTAAAACTTTATTTTCTTTTTGAGATATATATACAGTTATATATATAATCGTCATGCGAATAAACCAAATAGATATAGGAAGATGTGGTATGAGTGCCAATGAGACAACTCTCCATCCAAGTAACAATTTATAAAAGTTAACCATTATAGGTCAAGGTATGGCCTTCAACACGGAGCATTGGCTCACACCGAACAGCAAGCTATAAAGGGGCCCAAATATTACTAGTGTAAAACCATTCAAACGGGAAAACCAACGGTCTAATCTATATAAAAACGAGAAACGAGAAACACGTATGAACTACATAAACAGACGACAACTACTGTACATCAGATTCCTGACTTAGGACAGGTGCAAACATTTGCAGCGGGAGTAAACGTGTTAATGGTACCAAACCTTCTCCCTTTTCTGAAACAATAGTATAACATCACAACATAGAAAGACACACTATAAAATATCAATTGGAAGGCTTAACTTAATCAAAAAACGTAATTTAAAACAAAATGAACAATAAATTTGATCTGTGATACCTGAATGCAAATACATAGTTAACAAAAATTATAAGGGATAAATAATTAAGGTCAAAAGTAAATAAACAGGTTCAAACAAAGTTAAAGTATGATACCACTGTGACCACAAAGTCTGCTTACAACCCCAATTATCGTTTTAGAATAAAATGGGGGTGGTTAATTCAAGAAGTCATAATTTTTTGATTACGATTCAATGTGATCTGTTTGAGATTTTTTAGTGAATGCTACTATTATAATGATTTCTTACAAGAGGTATATCATACTGAGAATTATTTTAGCAGTTATTATGCTAATGTAGTAATGACAGGAATGCATAAGCTATGCCTCATAGCCTTTCTTGAAAAATATCAATGACAATCTGAATGTTAACAGGAACAAAACAATGACATGCTCTCATCTATATTATAGTTATTTAGGTTCGTGTGTTGCATAAGTCTTTCAATATTTGTCCTTTTAGGCTTTGGATTTACATAAATATACATTGAATCAGGCAAACATAGTTGTATCCACATTGTAATGAATAAATCAAGTTAATATTTTGCCAGGTAGTACAAAGTATACATTGCTAATGGAAGTTCATTTAATTTTCAAAAAACTAATGTTTTATAACCATTTTCAGGGGGCAAACCCACCATACAGAGACTTATGTCTACTGCCATTCCCAGTCTATTTTCCTGGACCAAGCAAAATGAGCAAGAGACTGAATCGTCCACAAAAAAGAAAAATCAGGGCAGTTTCCCGTGAAAACAAAAGAACTAAACTGTAAAACAATATCTGAATCTAGTGTTAAGAATATTTTGTATGTACATGGATTGTTTTTATGTCTAAACAGTGGCGAGAGGCTATAGCTAACACTTGGTCATCTAGTGGTTTAGTCAGGTATTTTTCGCCATCTGACTTCAAATTAATGTTTCCTACAACTAGGATTATTAATGACAGCACAGAATGTTCCGTGAAAAAACCTAAAGCTTGGTTAAGCTCCTAGAGCTCAACAGGCAACCTTTTCATCCTATAAAAACAGAAATACTGAAATACTTGTATGTTTGACACCTGGTGGTTTAATCAACTATGTCTCTAATGCATATGTTGGTTGTACCAGTGACCGTCAAATAGTTGAACAATGCATGTAGAATACTTCAATTATGTGATCCAGGTGACAGTGTGATGGCAGATAAAGGTTTTAATGCGCAAGAATGGTTTGCTAAAATGGATGTTGCCGTCAATATTTTAACTTTTTTTCAAAAAGAGAAACAGAATTAGTCCGAAAACTCTTATACGGGATAGAAAAGTCTCCAATAAATGTGTGCATGTAGAGCGAACTATTGGACTAGGCAAAACATACAAAATTCTAACAAATCCTATGAATGGAACTGAAACAAAACTTTCATCTAAAATAACATTTAGTTGTTTTAATTATGTTCTGTAATTTTAGAACTTGTATTGTGCAAAAGGATGCATAAATGAAAGTGATGCAATAAATTTTGTTCTGATATATATGTAATACTCAGAAACGTGTCCTTCCCCCAAACGTGTCCATATGACGTCACCGAACTCCAAAACATGTCTAGTTGTAAAAGGGCGCTAACGTGTGTCATTTTTATAAACGCCCAAGCGTGTTCATTTTTATAAAACCGCCCAAACGTGTCCAATCTCACAAACGTGTCCACGTGTCCATATGAAGCCTAACTTTTGTCCTTTCTCTGAAAGCTCAATCGTGTCCATATCATAAAAAAGCCCAAAACGTGTCCCCCGTTATTTGGTTATTGCTCTTTCATTGATGTATACTCCTCTTACTTTTTCATTGCAAATTGAAATACAATCCTTTAGGTCTTTATCAAACTAACAGTATAACCCGTGCCAAAGTGGGGCCTCCGTTCGGCTGTGCGGTATGTAAAAGTACGCAGCAATGTCATGTTATGATGTGGATAATAAATCAGATACCTTCTGTAGGGAGAATGTTAACTCTCTACACATCAAAAAATACTCGTAACAACTCTTTCAGGGTGCCGTCTGTGGTATGTTGCAAGGCAACATTTTTGTCCCAATACATATACCCTTATCACCTAGTGGCAGTTAAAATTTCCCCAACTTTAATTTCAAACGGCCTCTATTATATATGGGGGAATGAAGGAGTGTCATACTGAAGTCTCGAAAAATAAAGCGGTCTTTCCCCTCTCCCAAAAACATTATTATTTAATTCCGATTCCCGATTAGTGTAAATTCCTAGTAACCGTACACATTTAGGCCCAATCCCAAATTCCCGAAATAATAAACATGATAAAGGTACAATCCCAAAGTCCCTGACAATATTCTTCCGTCTCTCATTATAGAACTTACCTATAGTATTTATTGTTAATATGTTGTTGTCCTGATAATGCATGAAATATTTGCCACTGGACGTAATGTTTCTTGTTTGTGAGTCTTTAAGTGATGCTCGAAACCCAAAATTTATAATATAAAACCTAAACACCAGTTTATAATTTCAAGAGCTTTTAAAAAAGCAGAACTGTTGAAAAAATTGGAAAACACCTATGCAGGAAGCGGCCGTGCACTATCCTCATACATGATTAATTTAGTAAGGCATCACCGCAGTTTTATTAGTAGTAGTACAAAATATTTATTTAGTAAACGATTAATTTAACTGTACTAAACTAATTTTTATGTTCGCTCTAAATATGCATGAAATATTTGCCACAAGACATTTAACAAGCAACAGTCAAGAGTTATTTATATGTTGCTTATCAATCTTGCAATTATGCTAAATATAAACAACTGGCGTTGAACAAACTAATGCAAATACATTTTTAATTTCTTCTTTCAACTCTGTTCCTTTTTTA